CCTCTCCTAGGGGCGGGATTCACTGTGGGGTGGGGTGGCCTGTCTGGTCTACTTGCACACTGCCAGGCTTGTGATGCTGGGGATCTGGCATCTTAGCTGGGGTGGGTAGGCAAGGTGCACGGGGGCAGGAGGGGCAGGCTTAGCTTGCTTCTCCTTAGGTGATCCACTTCAGGAGGGGCCCTGTGGCAGCAGGAGGGAGTCAGATCCTCTGCCGGAGGTTTGGCTCCACAGAAGCACAGAGTTGGGTGTTTGCGCGGAGCGAGCAAGTTCCCTGGCAGGAACTGGTTCTCTTTGGGATTTTGGCTCGGGGATGGGCGGGGGAGATGGCGCTGGCGAGCGCCTTTGTTCCCCACCAAACTGAGCTCTGTCATCAGGGGGCTCCGCAGCTCTCCTTCCCTTTGTCCTCCAGCCTTCCCGCTTTCTGAGCAGAGCTGTTAACTTATGACCTCCCAGACGCTAAGTCGCGCTTGCTGTCTGAACACAGTCCGTCAGGCCCCTCCGCTTTTTGCAAGCCAGACTCGGGGGCTCTGTTTGGCCGGCCAGCCGCCCCTCTGCCCCGGCTCCCTCCCGCCAGTCCGTGGAGCGTGCACCGCCTCGCCGCCCTTCCCACCCTCTTCCGTGGGCCTCTCGTCTGCGCTTGGCTCCGCCGACTCCATTCTGCCAATCCTCTGGCGGTTTTCTGGGTTATTTAGGCAGATGTAGGTGGAATCTAAGTGATCAGCAGTACGCGCAGTGAGCCCAGCGTCCTCCTACGCCGCCATCTTCCCTCTCAGCCTCCAATACATGGAGATTAAATAACATGCTACTAAACAATGAATAGATCAACCAGGAAATCAAAGAGGAAATAAAAACTAAATAGAAACAAAAGAAAATTGAAACACAATGATCCAAAACGCTTCAATTTTTTTAATGTTTATTTTTGAGAGAGGGAGAGAGAGGGGGAGAGAGAGAGAGAGAGACAGAGAGAGAGAGAATCAGAAGCAGGCTCCAGGCTGTCAGCACAGAACCTGACACAGGGCTCGAACTCACAAGCTGTGAAATCATGACCTGAGCTGAAGTTGGATGCTTAACTGACTGAGCCACCCAGGTGCTCCTGATCCAAGACATTTCAGATGCAACAAAAGCAGTTCTATAAGGGAAGTTTATAGGAATATAAGCTTACTGACAGAAGCAAGATAAATCTCAAATAAATGATATAAACTTACACATAAATGAGCTAGAAAAAACCAACAAACAAAACATAAACCAGCAGAAGAAAGAAAAATAAAGATTAGAGCAGAAATAAATGATACAGAAACTAAAAAAAAAAAACCCAAGCTACCCCCCCCAAATAATACAGCAGATCAATGTAACCAGGAGCTGATTTTTTAAAAAAAAATAATAAAATTGAAAAAGCTCTACCCAGACTTATCAAGAAAAAAAGAAAGGACTCAAATAAATAAAATCAGAAATTAGGAGAAATAATAATGAGTACCACAGAAATACAGATAATTAGAATATTATGAAAAACTATATGTCAATAAATTGGACAAACTGGAAGAAATGAATCAATTCCTAGAAGCATATAAACTACCAAAACTGAAATAGGAAAAAATAGAAAACTTGGAGAGACCAATAATAAGGATAGAAATTGAATCAATAATCAACTCCCAAGAAACAAAACCGAAGGGAGCAGATAGCTTCACAGGCTAATTCTACCAAACATTTAAAGAAGAGTTAATACCTATTCTTCTCAAACTATTCCAAAAGATGGAAAAGAAAAGAAAATTTCTAAATTCATTCTATGAGTCCAGCATTACCCTGATACTAAAACCAGATAAAGACACCACTAAAAAAGAACTACAGACACTAATTCTGCCTCAACAAAATACTAGTAAACTGAATCCAATATTACATTAAATAAGTCATTCAACATGATCAAGTGGGATTTATCCCTGGGTTGGAAGTGTTGTTTAATATTTGTATATCTATCAACATGATACATCACCTTAGAAAAAGAAATGGTAAGAATCATATGATCACTTCAGTGGATGCAGAGAAAGCAGTTGACGAAATATAGCATCCATTCATGATAAAAAAAAAAAACCTCTCAACAAAGTAGCTTTAGAGGGAACATGTATCAGTATAATAAAGGCCATATATGAAAAACTTCCAGCTTATATCATCCTCAATGGGTAGAAACTGAGAGTTTTCCCTCTAAGGTCAAGAACAAGACAGGGATGTCCTGTCTCATCACTTTTATTCAACACAGTACTGGAAGTCCTAGCTAAAGCAATCAGACAGCAGAAAGAAATAAAAGGCATCCAAATTGGCAAAGAAGTAAAACTTTAACTATTTGCAGATGACATGTTACTCTATATAGAAAACATGAAAGGCTCAACCAAAGAAGCTGCTAGATATGATAAATGAATTAAGTAATGTATGGAAATATGTTTCATTTCTATACAGCAATAACAAAGCAGCAAGAGAAATCAAGTAATTGATCCAATTTACAATTGCACACAAAACCATAAGACACTTAGGAATATACCTAACCAAAGAGGTTAAAGAACTGTACTCTGAAAACTGTAGAACAATGATGAAAGAAAATGGAGATAACACAAAGAAACAGAAGACATTCCATGCTAATGGATTGGAAGTACAAATATTTTTTAAATGTCTATATTACCCAAAGCAATCTACACATTTAATGCAATTCTTGTCAAAATACTAACAGCATTTTACACAGAACTAGAAAAAATAATTTCAAAATTCGTATTGAACCACAAAAGAGCTCCAAAAAGAAGCAACCTTGAAAAAGAAAATCAAAGCCACAGGCATGGCAATTCCAAACTTCAATTTATACTACAAAGCTGTAGTGATCAAAACCACATGGTGCTGACAGAAAAAGAAACACATAGACCAATGGAACAGAACAGAAAACCCAGAAATGAACCTGCAACTATATGGTCAATTAATCTTCCACAAAGCAGTAAAGAATATCTAATGAGAAAAGTCTCTTTAACAAATAATGCTGGGAAAACTGGACAGCAACATGCAAAAGAATGATACTGGTCTACTTTCTTGCATCATACACAAAAACAAATGCAAAATTGATGAAAGACCTAAATGCAAGACAAGAAACCATCAAAATCCTAGAAGAGAACATAGGCTGTAGCTTCTTTGACATAGATCATAGCAACTTCTTTCTAGATATGTCTCCTGAGGCAAGGGAAACAAAATAAAAAATAAACTATTGAGACTACATCAAAATAAAAATCTTCTGCACATCGAAGGAAAAAAATCAACAAAACTAAAAGGCAACCTGAGGAATGGGAGAAGATATTTGCAAATGACATATCCAATAAAGGGTTAGTATTCAAAATATATAAAGAGCTTATAAAATAACACTCCAGAAATGAATAATCCAATTAACAAGTGGGCAGTGGGCATGAATAGACATCACATGAAAAGATGCTCAATATCACTTACCATCAAGGAAGTGCAAATCAGAATTACAATGAAATATCATCTCACTCTGTCAGAATGCCTAAAATGAAGAACGCAAGAAACAACAGGTGTTGGTAAGGATGGGGAAAGTGGGCAACCCACTTGCACTGCTGGTGGGAATGCAAACTTGTTCAGTCACTGTGGAGACCAGTGCAGAGGTTCCTCAAAAAGCTAAAAATAGAACTGCCCAGGGGCCTCTGGGTGGCTCAGTCCGTTAGGCATCATATGTCAGCTCAGGTCATGATCTCACTGTTCATGAGTTCGAGCCCTTCGTCAGGCTCTGTGATGACAGTCCAGAGCCAGGAGCCTGCTTCAGATTCTGTGTCTTCCTTTCTCTCTGCCCCTCCCCAGTTTTCTCTCTCTCTCTCTCTCTCTCTCTCTCTCTTTCTCTCTCTCTTAAAAATAAATAAACATTAAAAAAATAGAACTACCCTATGATCCAGCAATCTTACTACTAGGTATTTACTCAAAGGATGCAAAAATGCTAATTCAAAGGGAAACATGCACCCCAATGTTTATAGCAGCATTATCTATAATAGCCAAAGTATGGAAACAAAAAACAATTATGAAAACAGCTCAAATGTCCACTGATTCATGAATGGATAAAGGAGATGTAACATATATACTCAATGGAATATTAGTGATAAAAGAGAATTAAATCTTGCCATTTGCAACAATATGGATGGAGCTAGAAAGTATTATGCTAAGCAAAATAAGTCAGTCAGAGAAGGGCAAATGACAAATGATTGTACTCATATGTGGAATTTAAGAAATGAAACAAATGAGCAAAGGTAAAAAAAAAAACAGTGAGAGAAATGCAAACCAAGAAATAGACTCTTAACTATTGAGAACAAACTGATGGTTACCAGAGGGGATTTGGGTGGGGAATGCATTAAATATGTTCTGGAGATTAAGGAGTGCACTTGTGTTATCATTGGGTGATGTATGGAGGTGTTGAATCACTATATGGTACACCTAAAACTAATATTATGCTGTATGTTAACTGGAACTTAAATAAAAGCTTAAAAAATAAATAAGAAAATATAGTAAGAGTGCTAGTTGTATTAAGAAGAAATTAAGGGGTACCTGGGCGGCTCAGTTAGTTGAGCATCTGACTTTGGCTCAGGTCATGATCTCATGGTTCATGAGTTCAAGCCCCATATCGGGCTCTGTGCTGACAGCTCAGAGCCTGAGGCTTGCTTTGGATTCTGTGTCTCCCTCTCTCTCTGCCCCTCCCCCACTTGCACTATGTCTCTTTCTGTCTCTCAAAAATGAATAAACATTAAAAAATTTTTTAAAAAGAAGTTAAGCTGACTTTGTAAACAGAAGAGCCAATTAGCCTGTTTTAAAATTTACTTTTATTCTTCATAACACACTCAATAATAAAGCAAAAAAATGTGGTATAACTATAGAACTTATATCTTTATGCCTAATATTATATAAATTTATTAAAAGTATTTTATAAGCCTCTGTTATTCATATTTATGTACCTGGCTTAGCTCTTCTCACCTGAAGCTTTTGGGGCAGGTACCATGTCTTTCTCATCTTTGTGTTCTCAACAATCTTAGTCCAGGCTTGGGACATGGTAAGTCCTCAAAGGTGTTACTGATTGGTATTGAATTGGCAGGAATATTCTTGAGAATGATAACTGATCTGCATTGGTCTGAGACTGGAATAAGCCATATTACACAGTGTGGGCCTTGGCCAATAACTCTTAACTGATATCCTTAATAACAGGCAAGGAAACAGAATCATTACTTTATGCAGATGTAACCAGTTGGTAGCTACAGGTTAAAACTGAATAATTTTGAAAAATGAGTTAGGAGATGTAACTAGGGTGAATGCCTAGTAAGTTTGTGTAGTTTCCTTTTTGTTGTTATTGTTTCAAGTTTTCTTTTTATTCCAGTTATTTGACATATAGTGTAATATTAGTTTCAGGAGTAGAATTTAGTGATTCATCAGTTGCATATAATACTCAGTGCTCATCACAACAAGTACCTTCCTTAATAACCATCACATATTTAACCCTTCCTGCCACCAACCTCCATCCAGCAAACTTGTTTGTTCTCTACAGTTAAGAGTCTGTTTTATGGTTAGTCACTCTCATTTCCCCCCTTTTTTTCATCTCTTTCATTTCTTAAATTCCACATATGAGTGAAATCAATATGGCATTTGTTTTATTTCACTCAGTATATTTCACTTAACTTATTGTTTATTTCACAAAGCATGATGCACTAGCTCCATCCATGTCATTGGTAATGGCAGTATTTCATTCTTTCTGATGGCTGGGTAATACTCCATTTAATGAAATATATGTATAAATATTCTTTATCTGTTCATCAGTTGATGGACATTTGGCTCTTGATAATTTGGCTATTGTTGGTAATGCTGCTATAAATATTGGCTTGCATGTGTCATTTTGAATCAGTATTTTTGTATCTTTTGAGTGAATACCTAGTAGTGCAATTGCTGGGTCATAGGATAGTTCTATTTTTAACTTTTTAAGGAAACTCCATACTGTTCTCCAGAATGGTTACACCAGTTTTCATTCCCACCAAGAGTGTAGGAGGGTTCCCCTTTCTCTGTGTCCTCATCAACATCTGTTTTTTCCTGTGTTAATTTTAGCCATTCTGACAGGTCTGAAGTGATATCTCATGGCAGTTTTGATTTGTATTTCCCTGATGATGAGTGATGAGCATCTTTTCATGTGTCTGTTGGCCATCTGGATGTCTTCTTTGGAAAAGTGTCTATTCATGTCTTTTGCCTATTTCTTCACTGGATTATTTGTTTTTTCGGGTGCTGAGTTTGATAAGTTCTTTATAGATTTGGATACTAACCCTTTATCAGATATGTCACTTGCAAATATCTTTTCCCATTCTGAAGGTTGCCTTTTAGTTTTGTTGATTGTTTCCTTAACTGTACAGAAGATTTTTCTTTTAATGAAGTCCCAATAGCTCATTTTTGCTTTTGTTTCCCTTGTCTCAGGAGACATATCTAGTAAGAAGTTGTTATGACAGATGTCAAAGAGGTTTCTGCCCATGTCTTTCTCTAGGATTTTGATAGTTTCCTGTTCCACCTTTAGGTCTTTCATCGATTTGCATTTATGTTTGTGTATGGTGTAAGACAGTGGTCTAGTTTCATTTTTTGTATGTTTCTCTCCAGTTTTCCCATTTGTTGAGAAACTGTCTTTATCCATTGGATATTCTTTCCTGCTTTGTTGAAGATTAGTTGACCATATAGTTGTGGGTCCACTCCTGGGTTTTCCATTCTGTTCCATTGATCTATTGATCTGTTTTTGTGCCAGTGCCATACAGTCTTAATGACTACATCCAGCTTTGTATTAAAAACTTGATGTCCAGAATTATGATGCCTTCAGCTTTGCTCTATTCATTTTTGTTTTTTTGTGGTTTCATACAAATTGTAGGATTGCTTGTTCTAGCTCTGTGAAAAATTCTGGTGGTGTTTTGGTGCAGATTGCATTAAATATGTAGATTGCTTTGGGTAGTTATAGACATTTCAACAATATTTGTTCTTCCAATCCATGAGCATGTAGCATTTTTCCATTTCTTTCATAAGTGTTCTATAGTTTTCAGGGTACAGAACTTTTGCCTCTTTGGTTAGGTTTATTCCTAGGTATCTTATAGTTTTTTGGTGGAATTGTAAATGGGACAGATTCCTTGATTTCTCTCTCTGCTGCTTAATTTTGGTGTATAGAAATGCAACAGATTTCTGTACATTGATTTTGTATCCTGCGACTTACCTGAATTCATATCAGTTCTACCCAATTTTTTTCGTGGAGTGTTTCTGGTTTTCTACATAGAGTATCATGTCATCTGCAAATAGTAAAAGTTTGACTTTTTCATTCCCAATTTGGGGGTCTTTCATTTCTTTATGTTGTCTGATTTCTGAGGCCACGACTTTCAGTACTATGTTGAATAACAACGTTGAGAGTGGACATCCCTGTCTTCTTCCTGATCACAGTAGAAAAGCTCTCATTTTTCCCACATTAAGGATGATATTAGCTGTGTGTCTTTCATATATGGCCTGTATGATGTTGAGGTATGTTGTCTCTATCTCTACTTTATTGAGGGATTTTTATCATGAATGGATGCTCTACTTTGTCAAATGCTTTTTCTGTCTGAATCAATTGAGAGTAGCATATGGTTCTTAATCTTTAAAAAAAAAACGTGGTACTGCATGTTGATTGATTTGCAAATATTGAACTATTCTTGCAGCCCAGGATTAAATCGCACATGATAGCAGTGAATGATTCTTTAATGTACTGTTGGATTCGATTTGCTAGTATATTGCTGAGAATTTTTGCATCCACATTCATCAGGGATATTGGCCTGCAATACTCATTTTTAGTAAGGTCTTTGTCTAGTTTTAGAATCAAGGTAATGTTGGCCTCATAGAATGAGTTTGGAAGATTTCCTTCCATTTCTATTTTTGGGCACACTTCAAGAAGAATGGGTACGAATAGTTTCAAATATTTGGTAGAATTCCCCTGGGAAGCCATCTGGTCCTTTACTTTTGTTTGTTGGGAGATTTTTTGATTAGTTATTGAATTTTTTTGCTGGTTCTCAATCTGTTCTAGTTTTCTATTTCTTTCTGTTTCACTTTTGGTAGTTTATGTGTTTCTAGGAATTCCTCCATTTCTTCAAGATTGCCCAATTTGTTACCATATAATTTTTCATAATATTCTCATAGTTGTTTGTATTTCTCTGGTGCTGGTTCTGATCCCTCATTTCTTATTCATGATTTTATTTATTTGGGTCCTTTCTCTTTTCTTTTTGGTAAGTCTTGGTAGAGGTTTATCATTTTTAAAAAATTCTTTCAAAGAATCAGCTTCTGGTATCATTGATCTGTTCTATTTTTTTGTTTGTTTCTGTATCATTTACTTCTACTCTAATATTTATTATTTTCCCTTTTCTGCTTGCTTTAGGCTTCATTTGTTATTTTTTTCTAGCTCTTTTAGGTGTAAAGTTAGTTTGTGTATTTGGGATTTTTCTTGCTTCTTAAGGTAGGTGTATATTGCTA